AATTAGGATTCAAAGATAAATCCTCGATGAAGATAAAGGAACTAAGAGCGATTGGCAAGAAAAATTTTGTAATTGGAAACCATGTAGGTTTCATGATTTCGAGCGAACTTGAAAAATAACATTCTTCGTCTACTCTATAAAATATAAATTATATATATAAATACGTACATGAGTATAACGTACCAAAGCTTTATATTGAATATAAAAAATTACAATAACTAATGCTAACGTAAGAAAATTAACAAAAAAATCGCGAGGCAAAGGGTTAACAGAAATTGAAACACGCTCATCTCACTTCGACCCTAATTTAATTGCTATTAATTTTTACCGCAAGTGGAAAAATATTACCATTGGAGACAATCTTACCAAAATCCACTAGTTTCGAATGTGTGACATTTTTTTTTTCCTTTATCGCACATGTGCGCGCGTTTACGCGTAAATCAATCTGCAAATGTGTCTATCGTTCATCTATGCAATAGGTTCGATGATTCATTCGTGAGAATAAAATTCAATATCCAAATCGAGAAACAATGTCGCAAGAACTCGAATTCGCTTAGCAAACTTGAATTTTCTTTACCTGCAAACATACGGTGATTGTCGCGATAGCGTTCGGTAAATTAACCAAACGGTTTCTCGCTCGGCGGCAATTTACTCCAATACGCGTGTACTCGCGTGCAGCGTGGCAGCCTGATGTCTAACCTAACCCCTCGGAGCCCGCCGCCCGTTTACGTACAACACATAAATCTACCTTAATGATATCGCGGTTAATGCCAGGGTGACGCTATCTCGCAGCGTTGGTACGAACGTAAGAACAAGGCTGACACCTCGATCCGCCGTTTCGTACGGTGTGCTTGCGAGAGGAACCGCGCCACGAGAGATCGTATCGTCGTGATTTTCTGCGGCCTAACCCTGTTTCGCTTTTAACCCAGAGTCGTCGTCATTTGGAAGAACTCGCGTCATCGCCGTGACCCGCCACTAACTTCGCCACGGCAGCCCTCGTTTCCGCCGTTCGTTTGCACGAAATTTCCAACCTTACCAACCTTCTCGACAGCTCGTATTTCTCCCAGCGTTTCAGCTCGTTTCAGATTAGGCTCGGACGGCCGAAAATGACTTCAACCGCGATGATTTCGTCGTCAGATAGCGGGCCGAGGTTCGCTGGCCATTCGCGTCGCCCGCGCTTTCTTCAACTTTTTCTCCGTTTACATACTCCTGGCCAGGTATCCTGCGCTGTCGCTTCACACTCCAGGCTGCGCAGATGATATCTCGACGTTCGCCACTTTGTGTACGAGTCTTCGACGCTTTCGTACGAATCCTCCTCGTGATTCTTTTTCTTCTTTTATTTATTTATTTATTTATTTTTTTTTATTCGATCTGCGTCTCCGATCTGAATTTCCGACGGCAATTTATCCATCTGTTGACGTTACCGAATACCGTAATTAATAATTTACATCGATTGTAACTCGCGCGAAAGCGAGAATTTGTACGCGAAAAAAAAAAGAGTGTCAACGTACGTGAATAATTTTCAAACGAATAAATTGCGAAAGTACAAATTGCCACGTTCGCCGACAGTTTCGTCGTTCGCAGCCATTCGACCGATCAATTAACGAATTAATCTCACCAGGGAGTACAGAGGAGAGATGGCGAATTCGATAGGGACGTTAAAAAGCTTTCAGCGGAGCGCACGCGAAAAGCACGCGTTGTGTCGCAGGTCGGTGGCAGGTGTGTAAAGGTGTGCAAGGGAGTATTCGGGGAAAAAAGAGAAGCGAGACCGGTGGCCGGGCACGCTGCTTCCCGGAGCCGCTGTTCCCGCGAACTAATTGTGGGATCGGTGGCGTGGAAGGGCCTGGGATACGCGGCGACACGGCACGATAACGGGGCTTTCAGCGTGGAACTCGTAAATTTTGTCAGCGGCGGGTTGTACCGCTGGATTTTTTAGACCACGTCCCTCCTGCAGATTATCCTCCCTCTCGCCTCCGCTTTCAATTTGTTCGGCTCGTCTTATCGGCGCTGAGGCGAGAAGTCGCGCTCGTTAAATAGCAAATAAGGTGTAACGCTGGAACGAAGGGAGGAAAGGTTCTCTCCCTCTCTCCATCTTATCTTATCACGGAGCAGTGCTCGACCCCTGGCTTGCGCGTGGAGCAGCCACGGTACAGGTTACGGTCGTGCTAAAACCAGAGAGAAGTTCGTTCCGCTCAGGGTGGCATCGGTCACATAGATCTGCCAGAAGGTTACACAGGTGAGAAATCCGTGACAAACGATTTCGCGCCGGCACAATGTTCCACCGAGTGCGCGATAAATGTCTCGTGTTATGATATTTGTGGCTTCGTCGCTGAAGGAATAATTTCATCTTCGTATACAATGTTGTAATATCGTCGATATCGAAGGTTTGAAAGGAGCTTTAGGGAAAACGTTGAGTCTTTTGTGCAGTTAGAAAATGGTTTCTTAATGTTACTTGATTTGATTTGCAAGTATGTCTGTCTTACTTTTTAAAAGTTAGTATCATATAATAAAAATTTCATCCCAATTAATTTTCAATATTCGATTATTGTTCAATAAAAAGTAACGGCAGACGGTTACAGACGACACTGCTATTACAATCTGTAATATTAGATAACAAAATAAATTACAAAATACTATTGAAACAATGTTCACGTAGGTTAAAGTTTCGCTTCTAATGGCCTTTGCTGATGTTCCAGTGCAATTTGTTCCATCTAAAAATACAACACAGTCATCTTCGATAGATATATTTCCTCGTAATTCACAAAATACGAATTCCACCCTTCATTATCATTATTGAAATTCCACTACGATTTCGTTTCACTATCAAGTAATTTGGAATAGAGAAACTTTGTTCAAATCATTGTGCCAAGTCCCTCGAATGTCTCAAAAATGTCTAAAATTTCAAAACCTTTCAAATTCATTCTATCAATATTATCATTGTTGAAATTCCACTACGATTTCGTTTCACTATCAAGTAATTTGTAATAGAGAAACTTTGTTCAAATCATCGTGCCAAGTCCCTCGAATGTCTCAAAAATTTCGAAAATCTGCCACCTGTTGAATAAAACTACAGAGGATTTCAGTGGTCTCGAGATCGTAATCTCAGGATGCCAATGTGTCGACCTCCCATAGATTCGAGTCCATTCATTAAGCGAACAGAATAGACCGGCACGATCTCCTGTTGCTTTTGTAGTTCTTACTTTAGAAATAATAAGCTACGATACGACGGGCAGACAGAGGGGAACGGTCGTAATGCGCGGGCGCTTACTCGTTATCGTGCACAATGGGTCACACGCTGTGAGCCGAAACTACCGACTGTCAGAGCCGAATTAAAGCAACTACGGCCTTCTACGGATACGAAACGAGAGAACGGAACGCGAGGAAATAAGCTGCAAGTAAAATAAGTATCTCAACTACTGCCTGTTGTTGTTAACCGTTGTTTTTCTACCTGGACGTAGACATTCGTCTCGCGAAAATCGTCCATACACTTGTTTCTCAATCTGTAGTCGAGAAAGTTGAAATTTGTTTCCTCTGTGGAATATTTTATATTATAGGAGAGTCATTAAGATTTAATTGAAGCTCTCAGAAATGAAATTTATCGATTTCCACTTTTCACTAATTTTTTCACTCTTGTTTTCACAAGTTTGTTTGTTCTAAAGAGATGGTCAGGTGATGAATAACAATAAATTCTAAGATAAATTTAACTCTTTCGTTTATAAGTTATATAAAGTATTATACTCGTTCAATTACCAAGAGATTTCCAAGAGAACAGTACACTCGAGGCACAATTTCACACAAGCGAAATAACACACGACGACGCCGAAAAAGTAGGTTTCGCGTCGTGCCACTGAACAAATCGACAGAGATCGAGATGACATCGCCCGATATACGAATGCTTTTCATCGAGTTCCCGCTGACGGACCTCCAAAGGAGTTTCGGGAAAGCGAAACGTGTTTTCTCCGCGATGCGACGCCACACGTGGAAGAAAAACTCTCTCGTGCAACATCGACGCGTACCGTTAGAATCGCATTAATATCGGCCGATGAATTGGCCGGTAGTGTCACGTCGATCTCAGAGAGAGTCCTGCCGGAGAATAGGGAGCAGTTAAATCGCGGCATTGTGACGCGTACGCGGGTCCCTGCGGGACGTCCGAGCGGTACCTGGAATCGGCAGACTCTCTCTCAGTGGGTACCGGTAAATACTACTAATCACTTCTCGATCCTTTCTAACCCGCCTTAACCCCGCCGCTGCAAGAGTTATGGCCGTTGGTTTTATTCAGGCTAGCTCGGCCAAGGCCCCGACCTCCGTTCTCGCCTGGATGCGCGCCTAGACACCGCGTGAAAAGTTGCACGAACTTGAAGAGTCGACGAGGATGCACTCCCCTGTCGACGATTCGCTCGTCTCTGTTTGCGAATTTTCCAAATCGGAATTCGAAGCGATTTGTATTTTGGGGAGAGGACTCCTATATTTTAGGAGGATTAAAATTTATTTATTGAAAACGAAACTTCAAGTCCGCGATCCATACTTACTTAGGTTCCGTAATTATCCGATAAGCGAGCAAGTTCGAAGTTTTAGCAATTAAAATTTTCCAACAAATTTCGAACGAGGATCAGTTTTCTGATATATTATTCAGTAGTAAATGAATATTATAAAAAAGTGTCCAATTTACGAATTGGATGCATTTATCTGAACATGGATAGATATTTATCATGCGCCGATAAGCCGAGTAGAAATAAAAGCAGACGTATGAATACACAATAAGTGTGTACCCATTTATTCGTGCGAATGTTACATGACGAAAAAAATTGACCAGTCGAAATTACACTTACCACTTGATTAAATGATAGACACGAGCGATAAATCGAGCAATACGATCGTCGGATCACACGGATTTAGACGAAGGTGAGAAATGACAGGTGATACCCAGATCGGAGCCGACAACGCGCCAAGAGATTGTCACCGCTAACGACGCGCGACGCACGGACTTCTTCCTCGAACGATTAATCTTGCTCGTGGATCGGTCGTCGATCGTCGATCGCGTCGTCTCGATCGCTGTTCGCCGATGATCGACTACGGCTCAGGCTGCGATCGCGGCTCCTGCTCCGTCTGCTTTGATTTTCCACGTTGCTCTCCTTCTCGCACATGCACATGTTCTCCGGGTCTTGTTGCTCCATCGGCGTACCCTTCAGAACGTTCACGTTCCTCGATCTCGTGGTACACCGGCATCTGGTGCAGGCGATTCGTCTGGTCCTCACGCCACCGCGTCCTCTTCCACGCCTCGATCGACGACGACGACGACGACGACTGCGTCGACCTCTCCTTCTGCCTCTCTTGGCTCTCCTCCTCGCCCTGCCTCTACTGCGCCTACGTCGCGTTCGTCCACGTCTGCGGCCGCGTCCTCTTCGTCTTCCGTCTTGTTCGATCGGTACCAAGTTCGACGCGAGGTGCGGCTCCGCGTCCGTGTTCAGGAAATAATGGCCGTGGGTCTTCTTCAGGATACCGTAGTCCAGGCCGCGTTTCAACGCTGCTTGCATCTGCGGGAACGATTCGGATCGCGTTAGCGAGGTATTTATAGGAAGTCGATGGAACATTTCTTCCGGTGTCCACCGCCATGTTAAAGTTTACACAGTGTTCCTTGCTCGCCATTCGCTTTTTTTTTCTCTCTCTCTCCCCCAAGGGAATAAACAAAGGTATAAACATTGTCGAAAATTCGCGTTTATCGGGTATTTTACCAAAACTGAGATTTTTATCCCGCGATATTTACCGAAATTTTATTTCGACTGCGAATGTTTGGAATACAAAATTTAAAGATATAAAAATGTAGCAAATGCACCGGAAAATGTAAGAATATATAAAACGGCCGTTGTAATACTTGACGTCTGAAATAAATTTCCATCTGTTTTTAAATTCCACTCGTTCGGTCGGACTAATAAAAATGCGAATTTGCATAAACATGGCAGCCAACGTGCTAACAAACTGCATATAACGTTTCAGGAAATTTGTATTTCTTGAGAAATACCTGTCTTTGCACGGTCGTCTCGGGCACGTTGCACTGCGACATGATGTAATTCATAATCTCCTTCGACGTGGAGCCATGCGCTTCTCGCAGATTTCTGATGGCGTTGACCACCCTGGCCGACATCTTCGGCGCCTGTTTCCCCATTTCTCAGTCACTTCTCCCGTTTCCCTCGAACGAATCTTCGATCCGGTTCTCTCTGCAGGAATATCCAGCCCGAGATCTGACAATTTTCATTTGACGTTCACGTGGAATTTGGATAATTTACGCCGTGCGTAACGCCCTTGGAATTATCACGAGAAAATTTGAAGAGATTGTGCCAAAATCATCCTGCGATCCTGAATCGACTTGCGTTTCGAAGACGATCCAAGAGCTAATTGACAGCCTCTGTTTACCTTGGTTTCCACGTTGCGATTTTGTCGGTCAACGCCACGTTTCTCGCTCGAAAAATCATCGCGCTCGCTGCTGTTACGGTTCTCGTTCAGATCGAATGCGGATGCTCGATCGTTCCTCAGTTCGACAAAACACATCCTTCTTCAACGTAAACCGCAGTGACGTTCGTGGCGAATGCGAATGTAATTTGAAGTTTTCAACTGGCAAATTGGCTGCAATAATTTTCAATAATCGACAGCAAAAATTATTTTAATTAATTAATCAACTGAGCACTCAGATTACAAAAGAATGAAACTTCCAATGATAATAAAAATATTAATACGTAAACTATTAATGTAATCTATTAACTCTGCTAAATTATCCAACACTGGCAAATTCAAATTTTCATTCTTGAACTCAAATTTTAATTAATTTAATTAATTTTTGCATCGAGTAAAGGTTTCAAAATTAAGTAACATAAAAGCCTCGATTATGGCTGCCTAGAGTTAGATTTGCTTCAACAAGCATTCCGACGAGCAACATAATCGAACGTTCGTTTGTCGAACTTGAATGTCAACCAACTGGATGACGAGAAATTGTCGCGTTTGCAGAACAAACGTCAATCGACGAAAATTGTTTTGTCATTGTCACGAAAAGCACGCGGCATTAATACGATATTTATGTGAAAAGGGAAACTCGTTCCGTGATAACTTGCAGCCGGACAAGTACGAGGATTATCTTGTCGTGGACGTCGAGTTTATCTGACGTTAGGGCACGATCGGAAAAGTGGAACTGCTAAACACGTAGATACAAGGATTTTTGAAGCGCGTCGATGTTACGTCGAATTACACGGCTGAAATGCTAAGGAAGATGAAGTGGAATCGTAAAGATCGAAGGGCCATTAACGTGCTACCGCTGATCCGGTGACGTTTAAGTAAATAGGATGTCTAGCTGTCACCCTTCTCCTCTCCCTCTCTTTTGATATCTCCAGACATTCTCACGTTTAACGCAGACGTTTTCTTAGCTCTCGCGAAACAGATTAGTCTATGACTAATTAATTAAAACGTCGATTGGAACGTAGCTACGGTGTGACCAGTGCCGATAATAATTTCAAATAATCGATCCTTCCCTGCTGTCGGAGCCGATTGCACGTTCCATCCGAGAGCATTGGAATTTCCGTTTTAGATAAATTCATCTCTTAATAACGTCCCTTGGCTAATAAACGTGGCCGTTTCGTTTTCGCTCGATCGTCAGTCCGCATTTCCCAACCACTGGCCTCGCCGTTCCCCCCGCCCGTTATTGGGTATTAAGTCCATGAACGACGCGAAACAAGGCGAAAGCCAAGCGCTGAGGAGTTAACTTCGACCGATATATCGGCGTATCAATATATTAGCTTCGTTTATTGCAAACAACAACGCAGTAATTCGTTCGCAGCGAACGTCCCAACGGAATACTGATGACTGTTCAAGCCGCTGCTTGCGACCGCCGAACGTAATTACCCGAGCCATGGCCAATTTTCATTAATCGATCGATTTTCGAATTTCTCACCCAGTGGGACGAGTGTCCGTCGCGTCCTCTTTCGACGCGCGTTCGCTTTCTCAGCTCGATTAAACAGCAACGATCTGCTCTGCTTCCCGGCGCGAGCGGAACGATCGTTAAGATCCCTGGCTCGGTACACTTGTTAAATTCGGTGATCCGGATGGTAACGAAGGTAGTTTGCAGCCGGCTCGGTGCCACAGTGGCGAATTTACCGATTAATTTTTTCCGGCGTGCTCATTAGCCGCCCTTAATGGTGTCGGCGGCGTTAAAAAAGCCGCGATTCCGAGGCCGAGTCGTTTGGAACGTCGCCGTGGTACCCACGTCTTGCCACCTCCTGCCCGGTAATTGGATAGCCGGGAGACGTCGCGGTTTACAAGAATAACGCGGCAATTTAGCCGACCATTTAGCCATCTACCTGACCAGAACCGATTCGCCCGATTCGTTAATCAGCACCAGGTGTGTCGTCGTCGTCGTCGTTGTAGTCGTCGTCGTCGCGGCACACCTGCATGTAGATGCTCGCGTCTATACGCCAATGATTATTTATCAACGTCGCGCTTAGGCAAGAGAAACGCGCCGCTGCCACGGGTGTCGCGCGTTTACGCAGCTTTATCGTCGTCAGGGACGCATGCCGCGGTAATCGTCCTCCGTTTCTCTCGATTCGCGGCGATCCGTTCGTTCGTCGCGCTGACTCCATCCTCTCTACCTTCTCCCTTTATTTTCTTATCTTTGTTTTCTTGTTCCCTCTTCTCGGCTATACAGGGTATCCTCGCAATTGGGGGTGATTTCAATCGTAAGTCGAGAAGAAAGGATGGTCTTCTTTTTTTTTCTTTATTTAGGATTAGACCACCTTTTGCAGAAATGTGGAATGAAAAATTTCTCCGTCATTTGAGACGTTCGAGGCTTCGCTCTCAAGAAAGTGGAACTTAATTAATACACTTGATAAATTTTCATGTTTAATTGTCTCTGGAATTAACCTGTTGCCTTGCAATATAACTCCGAGATTGTTGACTGAAACATCAATTTCGATTGACTTTTAATCATAATATATTTAATTACAATGTATATAATAAAAAATATATAATAATTCATGTTGCTTCAACATAAGTGTGTTAAAGCAGTTATACGATGAAATGATGCTGAATTTTATTACAACATCTCGGAGACGTCTTTTCACTGCAATTAGAGCCAAGTACACTCGACAAGTTTTCAAATTCGAGTTCTTCTAAATAATCGAAATAGTCTTCTTCTAAATAATCTAAATAATCAGATGAGTCTTTCCGGCTTACTTTTTCACGTAAAAGTCTTGAACGATTGTGCCACGAATTGCGAAGGCAACTTGTACATGCGGGAAGATTTACGAGCGGAAGGAGAATTTATATCGCGTCGCATCGCGACGATGCATCATCGAAGCTAGGCGAGCTAGATCCCTTCCTCGACGAACAGAAACGCCGGCATTTATTGATATCTCCGTTCAGCGAGTTTATTTGTTCTGTTCTTTGGTGCCGATAGGACGAGCACAGCCGCATTCCGTGACCGATAAAACCGCCATCACGGCGCATTATTCCAAGCAGCGTCGCGAGATATTGCTTCATCGAAGCGTCGTGTAGCGGAGCGTCCGCGCAAAAACTGGATCCTCCTCGCGTGGGGAATTTTGTTGTACAGTATTGGTCGCGGGTTTCTCTTATTTCCTCCCTCGAAGAGCGTTTCTCGCGCGAACAATGGAGTCAATGGTGACGCCGATGTAATAAATACGTCACGAGGTGACATACACCCATAACTTTTTCAACAGTATTTCAAATAGAAGTGGAATACTTCAGCTATAAAAGGAGAATGTCTATTAAGGTATTGATAAGAACAATAGATAATATTATAATCATACGTTTGGAAACAATTACGCGGAATTTGCCTGTTTCCATGAAAGCTGGCGCCCAGTGTGAGATTTTCTATAATTTAGATAAGAAAGGACCGGCAGCTCCCAAGACCTATATGCCTGTTACGTGGAGAGTGAATTGTACGGGCTCGGTCGCGTATCGATGATATTCAAGCCGAGAGTTTGCTTAGCCTCTCTGTTAAAAGCGTGTACAGGGGAGACACGCGAGGAGACAGCGCGCCGGCTCGATCGACCAATCAACGACATGGTACCTGCGCCGCGCGATGATTGCAATTGGCTGATTAACGGCCTTCTCGGGCGCCGAACGCTTGGCCAACAATCGGCCAGCAACCCGCGACAGAAAACTGTCCGTTTTGCATACTCGATTGCGTCGATGGCGAGCTTGTGTCGCCTTGCCTGTCCATTATCGTCCGCGTTTTTGCGCGCCCGTTCGCCATTTTGGTTACATTACCACCGCTCGGGATCGTTAGGCAGGCGGCGCGCGACCCGCGGCTTATAAATATTCGTGGCGCAATTAATAATTAATATTCCGCGAATCGGCCGATATAAATCGCCGCGTTTTGTATTCATTAGAATGGCGGCGCCAGAGGAAATTATTCGCGCAACTAGGCGAACCGGCAAGGCCGGACCCAGCAAGGCTGCTGGCTCTGGTTTTTCCTTCTGGTCTCGAGCGTCGTCAACCGATCGTTTTCACCTCGTGGAATTCCACGCGGCAGCGCGCGCCGACGACGTTTTTCCGAGCGCCGCGCGTTTTATCGAACGGACAGATCCACTTGCAGGTACGCGGAGAGTCTAACTCTCTCGTTACAATGCGAAACCGCGATTATCGATTCTTCTCTAACAGTGCTGCCGCGATCGTCATCAAACTCGTTTTCTATCGATGGAATTCGCAACGCGCAGTCGTAAAATCCGTCGAAGTTGCGAGGAGTTTATAACACCGCGGTGAAGGTTCCTTTTATTAAACGTTTCTTCCATATGACCCTTGACCTGGCCTTCACTAACCTAGCCTCTAATAATCCTGACAGCTTCCTGGTAAGTCACCCAACTACACTTGGCTCTTTCTTTTTTATTTTTTATTGTCTCTTTCGTTCTTTCTTTAGTCCCACGTTTCGTATGGAAAAAAACTGCCAACTAGTCTCACGTTTCTTCAATTCCACGTTGTGGGCGAAATATAATTGATCAAGGGATTGCATGAAGTAATATATTTCTTTGTCTGTAGGTAGCTTTGTACGAATATGAATGAAAATTCATTTTCTTGAACAATATGTAAGCTTATAACTCATGGAGAATTGTTCGCGAATGTGTTTCTACAGACTCTTCATTTCGACTCGCGTTTCTCAGACAG